CATGGAGGTCTTCAACACTGCTGGCCTCCAGGCTCATGGTGGGGGGTGGATGCAGGAGAAACATCCTCATGGTGTGGCCTGCCCACAGCCTCCACGGCTGCCTTCAGTGCCTCAACGCTAACGTTCTCCCTGGCACCACCCCTGCTGGCCCTCCACAGATGAGGACCCTGAGGAACAGAGAGGCTGACCGACAAGCCCAGCCGAGGTCACTCGGGCAGCAAATGGCAGGGCTCCAGCCTGTTGGACGGTGCATGGAGGGCCCAGCGGACCGTGGACCTGGCCTAGGAGGGTCTGCCAAGCACACGGGAGGAGAGGGCAGTTTCTGAACGCCTGGGGCCCTGGGGACAAGCAGCTAAAGACCAAGCCAGTGCCAGGAGGGGACAAGGCCACTTGCCATGGGTCTCTGCCACCTCACCTCAATGCACCCCAGGGTCTCAGGGAGACAGGGAGACACCTCCAGTTGGTACAGGCAACGGCCTGCCAGGCCTGATTGGACAGCCCACGATACCAGCAGTGGCAGAATCCCCAGGGCACTTTCTTTGAGACAAAGGCTGCTCGCCTGTCCCTCATCCTGCCCCTCCCGCGGCCTCACAACAGGCAGGGAGGGCCTGCGCGGGGCTCCCACCCAAAGCCAGGGGACTTTGAAGGGGTTTTCGGCGTTCCTCTGTGGGGTTTGTTGTTTCTTTGAGGCCACACTGAGGGCAGACAACAGGTGTGTTGTTTTGACCTGCTACCTGGAGGGCATCTGGCTTCTCCTCCTGGGGCAACAAAAGCCAAACCTAGAAACTGCATCTCAAGATGCGGGCTCACTGCGTGGGAACAGGGTGTGTCAGACCCAGCGCGCACTCGATCAGCCAAGATGCTGCGCCCCTGCCCCGTCCACGCAGGAGGGGCCTTCGGGTGTCCCACCAACACCCCACGCCACTCACATGTGCTCTCAACACGTCCAAGCGTTGGCAGTGAACTTGCAAGGCCCTGAAGCGGCCGATGCGCCTCTGCCTGGCACCAGGGGCCGGGGGTCAAAGAGGGCAGAGCCAGCAGCCCCCTCCTCCCGCCCCATGTGACCTTGGCCTGACAACAGGGAAGGTCTCTCATGACTCCCCAAGGCAGCCCACACCTGGGTTTCTCCTCCTCTGCAATCCCAGTCCTCCTCACCCTATAAATCCACCACTGGAGCCTTCCTTCCAACTGCTGGAGGCAGGTCTTCACAGCCCCTGCCCCGCAGCCCCCCGCTGCCTCCCCACAGCCTCCCCACAGCCTCCGGGGCTCATCTCTGGACTCCTACCTGGGGGGCAGCCACACTCCTGCAGGGCTCCAAGCCCGGCCCCCCGTCACAGCGCGCACCCTCCCCGTTAACCACCCCGTTAACCACGGGCATTCCCCAGCCCACTCTGTCTTCACCTGAAATGACTTCGGGCTCCCCCTTCCCCCCTTCCCCTGGTCCCCTCCTTCAGCCGAGCCCATCTGTGAGCCCACGCCCCACTGACCGCTCCCTGCTGCAGCTCACAACCCCTCCCCAACCCTGAGCTCGCTCACCACGTCTATGCTGATGGAACCCTCCAGAAGGTGAAATCGTAACAGGCCCCACGACCCCACGGGAAGCCTGGGCTATAGAAGCCGTGGGCTGAGACTCTGAGCAAGTGCATTCTTGTCAAGATTAAGAACTTCCAGTTAAGAGTTAAGGGTTGGTTCCTCAAAAAGTTCAACAGAATTAACAGATGGCCCGGAATTCCACTCCCTGGCAGAATTCAAAAGACCTGAAAACGTAAATCTACACAAAAAACCAGTACACGA